GCCATTCACTCCAACTATCACCCCTGCACCGCTGACCCTCATTCCAAAAGAATGTGCTGGTTGGGCGACATAACAGGTTACCGCTACTGTGTATTCCAAAAACATTGTGCGTCTTTCGGTATTAATTTATCTCAAAACCCAGCATTTTAATTTCTCAGAAACGATCATTGCGGGAAAATTGTGGGCCGGGACTAAGATTTTTGAACGATCGATGCGATAAAACGATAGTTCGAGGAACGATAGAAGCGGGAAAATGTAACATTATTTTATAAGGGATGTATTCGGGACCGAACAAAACGAACGATGCATCCGGGAAAACGATAGTTCCGGGAACGATGGATAGAGGTTTCACTGTAACTAGGGAATTTAACTAATTATATGCATCTGTACTATCTGTCTTACTCAAACATGCAAGAGGACACTTACAAAGAAAGTATTCATAACATACCATCAGCTATTTTTAGGGCTACTTCAAGATTTAATTTCTGCTGTACAATTTTTCGTTTTTCTTCCTCCATTGCACCTTATTCTTTTTCAAGAAGTTCTAGTGATTTCCTCCAGTCTTTTTGCTTTTCTTCCATTTGTTTTTTCCATTCATCTTCTTTCTTTTCCAACTTTTTGGTCCATTCCTCTTCCAATTTTTGTAACTTCCGCCTCCATTCATCTTCACGTTTCTCGAGCCGTTTTACATCTTTCTGGTTAAATACCTATGAACTGAACATTTAAGCACACAGTTTTTAAAAAAAATGTAAAGCTGTTTGTGCCTGATTGTGCACCAAACCTTGCAGATGTACGGAGCAGTGGAAGTACAGCTCGACACATTCCTAAAACTGAATAATTAAGTACTGAAGGATAAAACAGTTATTTTCTTTTTTCCAAAGATGACGTATTCATTAGGTTTAAATGACAAGACACTTCTCACCTTTCCATCAGCAAGCTTGACTTCAGAACTGTCTTGTCTCTTCAGTAGAGGTGGTGATGATACCAGTTCTTCTTGTACACCATCAAGAGAGAAACTACCCAAACTGGTGCCAGAACCTTGCCTTGAATGGTGCCCTTTGGGTCCATTGCCATGGATAATTTTCTGTGGAGGGCTACCCAGAGCTAGTTTAGTAGGATCACTACCTGTCTCCTATTGATTTCATTATTTTTTAAACTGGCAAACATATTTGAAATATGTTCTCCAAATTCCTGAAAATGTACACAATTTAGCAAGTATTAAAACGCATTATTTAAAAATATGGTGAGGTGGTGAATATGATAAGTAAATTATTACAAGCAGACGACATGCATGGATATGAGCGACTTATCTTGTACTTACACCTTCAGTCGAACACTATATCAAGAAATATAACCTCATTAGGTTCGACCAATTAAACGAAACAGGTGTGACATATTGTATTGCCTATGAGACACTGTGTAAACGATGTATTATAACTGTGACACGATTTCATTTCCACAAGACAGCTGCCATGTTACTCGACGTCATTGAAAATCGCATTAACCCTTTGTTGCCTGACTATTGAAAATATATGAACCAAAGTCATTTTTTCATCTTTACATAATAAATATGTCCTCTTAGAACATGTCATTTTTTTCAGATTTTTATTTCAATTTTTTGTGTAGTTTTGATGCCTGGTACTTACAAGTACCATCAGGGAAGTTGTAGGGTCCTAATTCAATCACATGCCAAAGTACATATTTGATCATTCTATCACGTTTTGCCTTGTTAACAACACATCCTTATTGTGCCACATGCCAGGGTACTTTCCACTTTCAATCTCTCAAGAAGTGGAAGAGAAGTGAAGAAATTATCAAAATATAATTTTCTGTTACTTCCCCAGAACTGCTTTGACAGGCTCAGCAAAAAAATTATAGGTTTCATGGGGTTATATTGTTTGATGCTACTCCTCCCCTTGAATAAAATCATTGATTCATCAATGCTAAGTTCCCTTGTCCCTTTGTAAATGTTTGGAAAATTGTCATTCAATGCAGTTACCAATGGCCTAATTTTGTAAAGCTTGTCTGTTTTTTCCAGTCATTTGTGAATTATCATTGACATGTAAATGCGTTAGTATGCTGTCAAATCTATCACAGCTCATTGCTTTTCTTATCAATGGGATTCCCAAATCTTCACTTGTTGACCAAGAAGGAAGTTTATGGTAACCCATGAGGAAGTTTATGCCCAGAAATGCTAATAGCTCATGTTTTTTAAGATTCAGAGTTTTACCCTTCTGTGTCCCATACAGATTACTTTGAAACAACAAATTTTCAATTACAGGTTCTATCACAGTTATCACCACTTCTGTTTCTGTTTCGCATTAGGCAAACACTTCTGTAAGCCCTGTGGAAAGAAATGAGATTGTTAGCACACAAATAAAAAGTTCACACACTATGAAAAGAAATAATGGAACAATAGATAAAGAAAGGACAGATACTCTGATTGTTTCTTGATGATATCAATAATGTACAAACCCTTCATTCATGCTGTAATGTGGAATTTTTGTCTCCAAATCTCTTTTCCTCCATTTCCTATCAATATCAAGAATAGGTGAGGTGGTTGGTAATGGTTCTACATCAACATTTTCAGTGGGATTTCCAGCATCTTCCTCTGCTGCTTCACACGCTGCTGCATCTATTTCTTGATAAAAAATTCTGTCAAATGCTGAACTATTAGCTGCAACTTCAATAGCAGCATCTTCTTTTTCCTCTTCTATATCAGTATTTTCCTTGTCATCTTCTGGTAAGTCTTCTAATAATATCTCAAAAATATCATCATCAGTCAACATGTTTGTAGACCTAAATATGGCAGGCAATTGTTCTTTGTTTTGGTCAGACATAATGAAAAGCTGTAAAGAAACTGAAATTTCAGTTTTGGTTACAATATATCTTAATATTTTTATAAATCTTCATGCATTATTGAACATTATTTCATAATGAGAGAAAATTATGGATCAGTAGCACATTATTTCAGATTATGTGTATGATTAACATGTGACCCACCATCTCGCCTGTTGGTACTTCTAAGTACCATACTTTTCACGGTCAGTTGCTTCAATCATAAATGTTATAATTATGTATATTTTATATATTTATATAATCATACTTACGTCTATTCAGATAGCTTGCATATCAAACAGTTTCCCAGGAACGAAGAAATAGGTGTTGTAAATGCAGTATGTCTTCCTAGACAATTCTATGACCACACTCCATGGAATAGAAGGATACAACAGGCTGTGGAACATTACCAACTGCAAACATGAAATATCTTTTCTCCAAGTATGGGATACTTGAGAGTATCATTAGGAAATTACAAGGGTAGGATGTATTAGTTTCAAAGCCACAAAATATAACATGGAACTTTAAAGTACCGTCAGTCAACAAAGGCAAATGACAAATTCATTTGTAGGTTGTGGCGTGCATATAATGTACAAAATTTAGTAATAAAACAGTATTAATGGATGTCTAATATACAGTAGGCTTTTTTAGATTATTTTTATGCATATTTGTTGTTATAAATTGGGCTTGCTATGTAATGACTATAGTACGGGATTTCTGCAAGAGATGTCGCAGAATGTTATGTTCATATTAAACTGGCATCTGGTATCAAGTCCTGAACTTGAAGTGAATAACGCTGGTGGCAGTCGGTTTTGAATTCTTAACTGTTGTTAAAGTGAACAGTTTTGTGCTATAATTTTAAGACAATGGATTCTACTGCAGCAGATGGGTCATCCTCTTCCTTAAAACTTGATATAAGGTAAGTTATTTCATACATATGACCGGTTAAATTGCGTACCTTCTTTGTGTGGTATTTATATATGGAGGGGAAGACAACGTACAGTATCATAACTTCACACATCGTTTGTGAGATGATCTCATTATCGAACAAAAATAATACATCTGCATAAATTTTCGTTATTTTTCTCAAGGTATTTCAAATCAGAAATACTAACAAAATATATAGAGATAGGAATCAGTTGTCTTACCTCCCAGATTCAGACACCAGTATGATAGACTGATATATGCACAGTGCGGTCCAAAAGTTCCCGAACTCAATTTTTTTATGCTTGTGCACAAAGAGTTCGTGGAAGAAGGTTGCACTGTGAATGCAGAGTATGATAAAGATGTGTTAATCGCCTAATTTTGCACATTCGACGAATTCGCCGCACTGTGTATATATAGCATGTGGTGTTGTCACAATTCTAGGAAATTTGTAGAAATTCTACTGGTTATTGAAAATGCATTTGATGATGTACTTGAACTGCTATCCAGAATTGAAAGGTGTAGTAAATGTTTTAAGCAAGTGTGGTGAATACTTCCATTGCAACTGTTACAAGCAACCCATAGCAGTCAATTATGCACCAAGTAGTTTGCCCATTGTCATAGTAATCCTACTCTGACTTTGGGAGGTGTCAGCTTCAAATACTAACCTGAAGATTTGCTGTCCTAATTGAGGTGTTTGTATCTTTTGTCAGTCCCTCCAGGCAAATGCTGGAATAATGCCTCAAATTAAGTCATTACTGTTTCCTTCCATATTCTATCCATCTCATTATTCTTCATATTATTTGATTTTATATAGTGAGCTGCTTACAGTCATTAAATCACTCATAAATAAAGTAAATGTGATATTTTGCAGTGAGGTTGGTGCAATATAAAGTGGTTGTATTTTTTCTTTGTAGTTGGCCATGCACAATCATCCTGTTATTTCTGTTCAGGTTCAATAATTTGTGTAGTTTGTAGGGAATTGAAGCTTTTGCAGTAACTAAAACAATAACATCTTGGTTAATAAATTGCTACCTTCTCTGCCTCCATTATCAGAGTGATGACATCAGTCATTTCCTAATGACAGGTAGAGAAGTTCTCTAAAACACTCAATATGAACTCTGAACCGAAGCAGCTAATCACTTGAAAAAGCTGTATCACTAGGTGATACATTGTTATTAAGTAACATTCTAACCATGACATACAAGATTTCTCATACTGTACTTGCTGTTTATGATATCAAGAGCTTTTACTTCTTTATCACAGAAATTGACTGATAATGCCCATTGTACTAGGTAATTGACAACCATTATTTTCTTTTGCTGTAAGAAGGTATGAAATGGAACAATATAGCGAAGGGATAGTGTCAACTCTTCCTTAACAAGCTGATTGGTGTAGCAGTAATACTTTAGTACTATATTCAGGAGGTACCCAATTTGAATCTTGGCCAGTTTTTGTTGTTTTGCTTCCTAGTCTCTTCAGAGTTAGGGTGGATGACCTGGTATGAGTAGGCTGTTTCTGCCTCCTTCCAAATCCTAATCTGCTTACCATTTTTAACTGTTTAATGCAAAGAGTGGAAACAGTTTCATAATTTGAATCCAAGTTTTTCTCCAGTTGAAAGTGTTTATTTTTTTAAAGTAAACTTATTAACTGTTTGAGTATTACTCATTTCATTTGCAAAGATGTATATGTTTTCATTTATGTTTAGTGTAAAAAAGATTCTTACAAAAATTCAATGAACATGAAACGTGATCATTTAATTTTCACATTTCTATATTGTCTTATAAGTAAACGAATATTAAATACAGTTCAGGTATTGACCTAAATCAATAACTGCAACATATTCTGGCCTTATCATTAATATTTACACGTGGCAGCCATTTGTACTTTTGTGTATTTTTACAGTTTTCTGTTCAACACTTTTACTAAAGATTGGAAAACTTTAGTTGAATTGCACTGGCCCTTTCAATAAATGTAGCTGAATTTGGTCTGTTGCTGATGAGTATCTTCTGAAGTGTTGACAGAAATTAAAACCTCATGGATTCCTTGCATTTATTTACTTTTTGCCCGTGTTATCCATGCACTGATGACTGCGCCCTGCAAATGAGTTGGCTTAAATCAGAATTGTTAACACTGTTGTTGAGGCATTAACCATTATATATTTAAATTTTCTTCTAAAGTTATCATTGTTGCTGTTTGGGCACTAGTGTAAAAAACAAAATGTTCATAGATATACACGCAGAACATACATTTGTCATTCATATATGAATTAAATACATGTACAGAAATCATTTTAAAAGTCTGAAGATTTCTGTCTTCTGGGTTGTTGCGCCGTGTAGTATGGTAGATATTTACCGTTTCAGAGATCATACTGCCCCCATCATTAGGGCGATGACACTACATGGCGCAACAACCCAGAAGACAGCAATCTTCAGACTCATCGCTGTGAAAACCTCAGATCATACATTTTAAAAGTATCTTTCTAGACTTCTGGATGGGATTTCATTTAAAATGTGCCAGACAATTGTTTCTAGTTTTGCTTTTTCCCATTATTTTATTCTGTGTGTAAGAGTTGCAGGACAAAATTCTTTACAAGAAGTGATGAATATATCTTTTATATCAGTTTTGCTATAAAGTTTCCAATGTTTTGGTATCTGTTTATAATTTTCCAAGAAATTTAAATTATTGTGACAGTAAGACAATCTTTTTTAACAATAATGTTGAATCATCATCTTGCTTTGGCAGCAGGTATGACAACTGCTGTGGCTGTTGTTGTTGTTCAGAGGGTGTGACAGTTGTGGGTGCACCATGCTGAAGTTTGCATAGGAAAAAATGGTGACCGTTTTCCAACACTTAATGTTGTTTGTAACTTGTACGTTCAGCAATAAAGCTTTAGTTACAATATTATGTTTTTGCTTACATTTTGTGGCCGATTGGGACCTTTAAAAACATCCCGAAGGTCGCCAACTAAGCCCAGTGAGCCTCATATATACGAGATTTTCTATTCAAGCTTCAGGATAGAGTGACGGTATATACTTTCCGACATGCAATGAAGCGGCAGTCTGTACTTGTCACGTGTTCTCTTCGCCTTGCTCCAACGTCAACTTCTTCGACATCCGTGTACAGCTATGCAGTCTAAACATTATGTTACAGGCGTCTGCAAATCCAGATTTCTTTACACTACGTTTTCCGTTATGACATCTGATCATACACACGTAAGGCGGGATACTTTGTAAATTAACACTGTTAAGAATTATGCGTCCTTTTGGCGTATAGCCTGGTAAAAACTGACATTGTTTCTATTGTGAGATCAGTTTTTGTGCTTTGAAAACAGGCTGGATGCCAGAATTTTAACAAAACTGGATCGGTTTACGTACAATTGAGGCGACGCTCTCTGCGTCAGGGGGTGAATTAGTGTTCGTGGGATTCATATAACGTATCTGCTAGGCCTGTCGTTTGCTTATGTTTACGTTTTAAGTTACTGCCAGTTATTTGACCTTTAGGTTTAGGTTTCGCGCATCAGTTCCTTTGACATTTTACCTGCTTTTGTGGTGTCGTTGGGGTCCAATTCGGGGTCTATATTTTGTTTAAACTAATAGTAGCAAATCGTGAGATTTTAGGTTCTCACGGCGACTAGTATGAAGATGATTGTCTAATGGGTTATTGCGCCGTGTAGTCTAGAACTTTACTGATTTCCAGAGGTGTTTTCTGCCTCCATCATGAGGACCATAAGTAAGCCGCGTGCAGCGTACTCATCGCCCTGATGATGGAGGCAACAAACAGCTGTGAAACATCTGTAAACTTCTATCAGATTACATTGCGCAACAAGCCAGGAAAACAATGTTCAGTCGTAACACCTTGTTGACACAAACTTCCAAGTATGTGCACGTGGGACTGGTCGTTCGTTACTCAAACAATTTACTTTGGCTTGCCGTCGGTCGTCGTCTTATCTTATGGGGTATGACATTGTGGCTATCCTGTCACAGTTGCAAGTCTGTTTCGTGTTCCTTCGCATTCCCGAGTCCGTCTCCATGTTTGTTGAATCGATTACGTAGAGATACTTACGTCTCGATTCTCCACTCATTGGGACCAGCAGATGCGTAGTTGAGGATGAGTAGTCGCTAGGCAACGCAACATCCTGAATGAGAATGGAAGGTGGATTGTGATTTTGCTTCTCCCAATGTTCGACAGTGCTGCCTTTTTTGGGCCATCACTTTCATTTGAGTACGATTGGATTTGGAATGGTGGTTGTGATACGAGTGATATGATAGTGCCTGCTGGAAGCTCATAGTGAATATCACTCCAATTATCGGTCTATTTTACTTATAGAAGAAATTTACGTCGTTAGCTAGAAATGGCAGCCTGGTTCAACGAGTTAGCTGAAGAATGGGGGCTTTGATTCTTCTGGATACAAAGCGGAGATGAGTTCTAACAGATCGGAACAGCGGAACTTTAGCAATGTTTCCAGGAGAAAAAGATCTCGACGGAGGAGAATTTACGTCGCATACTGCCTCCGTCATCCTCTTGTGTCGTCCTAGGACATCACTCAACGCCCTCAGGTGTCCAGTTTTTCAAAATGCAAAAGAGAAAGAAAAACTTTCGTCGTGTTATTGGAAGAAAATCTGTAAGGTTTTTGAAAACGAGGAATGGTGGAACTTTAATGAAAAACGGAGAGTGTGTTGCTTAAGATGTGCGTTATCTGTAACGCGTAATGACTAAAATAATGCCTAATTGCTGCTACAAGATGGAATGACAAAACTCGTTATAACCCTTCAATCTTTTATCGTGTTGACTGTGATTATTTCCCATCCTTGTTAAAGTGTAAGCCCTACTTATTTTAGTCTTTTGCGTGTGTTTCGTGGTCTGAAACATATTCTCGAGAAAAGCCCTAACATCTGTTTAGCCTTTGTAATGACGTTTCTCGTTTGTGTTTCATCTTAGAGGTACAATAATTCAGTTGTATCGTTTATTTGTTATGTGGTGTGTATATTGTCCATTTTGACGACTCGAACATTTTTAATATCGAGACATTTAAACCGATAAAGCATAATGAACGAACTGCTCTAAATCAACCCGTCCCGTCAGGTCAGTATTTCGAAGCCCTCCCCGGCGGTCAACGGCACAAGGGCCGGAGCAGAGTCCGTCTTGGTAAGTTGACACCCACTTTCCACCATCCTTTGATGTTCTCGACACATTAAGAAATTGTCTGCGAACTCTTAACTGGCACTGTCTGCCAGACCTCTCGTACGTTTTGCTTAAAAATGTTTTAAATTATGTTAATACATTTATGTGAATTTTAATAATTGTTGTATCCCGAAGGATGGTGATGGGATACGGGAGCGTAGACCGAGCGGAAGTCTGTTGATTGGGTGCGTTGGACACTTAAGAATTGAAATTCAAGCTCACTTGTAGCAACTCAGTAGATATATGTATATCTTGTTGTTTATTGAAAGAACAGTTACGCCAGTTTATAGCTCGGGTCAGTAAACTATTAGGCGTGATGCAGAGTAGAACGCAACGTTCGGTGGTGAATTCCGGTGTAGTCCGCGTGGTGCTTACAGACAGTGGTTTATAAAGGGGGTTAAAAGTGTGTCCTGTGCCGGAGGGGCAAATACTCATCAACAGGTGCGGGGGTTTACCGTAGGGCGACACACTTACTTAGAGACGCGTGGGGTATTAGTATAATCGGATTTTTGTATAGCAATCTTCTTATCATTTTTATGGTTCATTATCTCCACAGTCTGGCTTGTAGCATCTGTAGCTTACTGACCCTTACAATATGTTGACGATTACAGGTATCTATTAATAATAACTAGAAATAACAAACACTACATACAGTCATACCTAATTACATGTATGAAGGGTTGATATATGGCAAGAGGGTCCATATGCGACATAATGTTAGAAGCTGAGCAGAACTGTTGAATAAATTATTATTTACAAATTATTTGTGATAAGCAAACAGTAATTTAAGTTATAAAAGGAACTATTTCTGCCAGCCGCCAATTCGAGATTATTTTCTTTATCACTAGTTCCCCATTCCGGAATGAAATTCGGATCTCCTTTACTGTCTTCGTCCAAGTTATGTAGAATTTCGTAGAGAAATTGGGTGAAGTCATCGTTACTCCCACGTGGAAATGATGTGTGGTAGAGTTATCTAATGAAGGATGTGGGTAAATAAGAAATGCGTACAAAATTTTGGTTGGAAAGCCTGACGAGAAGAGGACACTCTGCAGCCCCAGGCATAGATAATAGATAAATAGATTTGGGGGTATGGATTGGATTCGTCTAGCTTAGGATATGTACTAGTGATAGACTGTTAACACGGTAATGAGCCTTCGGGTTCCATAAAAGACGGAGATATTAGTTGCTCAGGAAGGACTATGATTATTGGAGATAGGAAAAAAATTATACTACTTTTGTTTCGGTAATTATTTATGCACTGTCAAATAACGTGGGTCCTACATGAAATGAAAATCCATTCGCATAACTGTTTAGCAAGCGAATATACGTATAGACTATTTATTAGACAACACGAATTGTAACAAAACACTCTGGCATTAAGCTGACCCTGAATGGTTTAATTTAATCCTTACATTTATGGTCATAAACAGCCTTACACGGAAAATTGCCTCATATAAGAGAATCAGGTATTCTGTATATAGGGTATTGGGTTAATAGATTAATTTCACCTATTACGTTCCTGCGAAATTTTGGTTATCAAAGGTTTAAAAGATCACAATGTCTGTACAGTTTGTTTGTAAGTTCTTAATAAATTATCTTTACGAGCTAATACTGCTTCACTATTAATCTGTGTTGCAAGATCACTCGCTGTTTCGAACATCCTGGTTATGTGGTTCTGAATAGAACCACTTGGTATCTGACATTGTAGTTTTATGTAGAGTAGTTCATGGACAGACTTGATTTTAACAATTTCGCATTTCAGGTACGTCTGAGGCACAGACCCTTGTGCATGCAGTGAAACCCTGTCCTTAATTTGCTGCCAATTACAAGATATATTGCACTCCCCGTGGTTTGTACGTGGTTGTAAACTAACATCGACCTAAAATTAATGCTAAGACGAATAGAGGGACGCATGGTTTCTTTGTAACCTTGATTGATAATCTTTGTCACTTGAGATAAACCAATGACACGACAGATCAGTTTTGTCTTCTTTTTTATTGTAAGAAGGGACTTGTTCCTTTCTCGTCTATTAAATTGCTGTTAAAATAGGCCATGGAGAACTGTGCAAGTGTGTGGACTAGATTCGTCTGACTCAGTCTCTTGCAAGCACGGTAAAAAAACAACAACAAAATCATTCGGGTTCCATAAAAGGCTGAATTTCTTGACTATCTGAGCGACTATCAGATTCTTAAGATGCACACTACTGTGTACTTTGCTAATATAATTGAGCAGGTCTCTTGTCTTTGTGTTGATTTTAGCTGCTTCTATATAAATATAGTGCAAGGACTATGCAGCCATCCTTTAATGTTCTAGAGCTTTAGTTGATCTCTGTCATTTATTCACATGTGTTAGGGTGAATTGGCTGCAGCTGTCATGCATATTTATTGCGTAGAATTGGCAGGGTCTCCGGCGCCCTCTTCAAAAGTGTCTTGCTGATACGAAGTATGTGGTTTACTGCCACGTATCGTTACCCCCCTCAGCTGCTTCTGTTTTGAAAAACGCTTTAAGATGTTGGCGTAACAAGCGAGAAGGATTTATTTTGTATCACATTCTTTTTCTTAAACTTTGTTTTCCTTCCAGTTTATTTAATACGTAGGAAATGACGCAGGAAACAATTCGTGACAATAATATAGGAAGAAAGGCATGAGATATGTTTTAGTGCCGGTAAATGATTGTATTTGTAGTAGGTACATTCCATTGGTATTTAGTGATATTTACTTTTACCTAAACATTTATCCTTCCGTCGTTTACAGCTAAAATCTCGTGTTTCTGTGTCCGAAATAATGTTTCCGATCCTGGGACTGGTGCTTCAAGCGAACGGTAGGTCTATATTCAGATCAGACGTTCAACTTCAGCTGTTGCGTTAATTGAGTGCACTTCGGGCACTTCAACTCAGAATCGAAACAGCACACACTCGTAACTGTACTGCTGTTTTCCATTTGTCTGTTCACTGACTCAAGTTGTATAATTTATTACTGAATTTTTCATTATATTCTGACATTAGTCAGTGTTTATATGCCCTGTGCGGAGTCTGAAGTCTGGCTAATAAACAGAATGCTGAATCCACATAGAGTTACGTTCTGTTAAATTGATGATTATGTTTTTCGCTACAGCGGAACCTATACGAGTGAAGACAGCTCAGAACTAGCTGCGTACCATAGATGTTCTGGTGCCAGTTAGTGTACATTTTTTGTTGTCAAATCATTGTTACCAAACCCCGTGGTTATCAAAGCAGACTCAAGTGTCAAGCAATATACTACTGTCATCATGGAGAACTTTAAGGTAGATAGCCTGCACTACCATGGGGTATTCTTCACAGCTGCTCCATTGCCAGTTTTCTCAATTAACTAGTTGAGCACAAATGGCGTACTTCTCGCCACGGTCAGTGGGTCGAAATGATTGTCTTCTTGGAAGTTGCGCCGTGTAGTCTGGTAGAGTTGACCGACGTTTTTGACATCCTTGCTGCCTCCATCATCAGAGGACAGAATTATTATTATTATTATTAAACTTTTACCTGTTTATTCATCAGCAACAGCAGCTTACTACTTTAGTCATTAAATTTAATAATTTAGTTTACGTTAATTTCACTGATATTTTAAGAATATTATTGTATTGTTTACCTGTATTTAATAATTTGTGCCTAGTAACATGCCATTGATGATTTCTCATTCTATGCTGCATTCTTGTTACGTTTCATTGCATCTCGAAGCGAAGAATGTCTTCGAATAAGTCGCTTTTCGATTAACTGCCCCGTCAGTCTGTCCTGTTTACGCCGGTTGAGCGAGAGTGCTCGTATTATTTGATTCTTTGTATTTCCAACTGATAGGGGGAACGTCAATTGGAGATGGGTTCTATGCTGATATAGGGTGTCAGTTGCCAGGCATTTGATTGAGGAAGTGTAATGTATCGATTACCATTAACGAGCACAGTTGGATAAGTAATTTGGCTGTTGGAGTCGAAGTGGAATCTTGAATATTACAAGGGGAGCGAATGTACTAACTCCCTGAGTTCGTCTTATGTAATATTCGTTTATTTCTTGTACATTGTTTGATGGATAAAGGAATTCAAATTATGACAGAAATTTTCGTACATACTGTTTGTCAGTTAGGGTATAGGATATTGTTTGTTAATGGAAGGATGCCGTTCTTTGAAGAATGCTGTGTGAGGGTGTGGACTGGACTCATATCTGGGTGAGAATTCAATTTCTCATGGTGGCGAGTGTGAAGATGATTGTCTTCTTGGATATTGCGCCGTGTAGTCTGGTATAATTTTACAGACGTTTCGGAGGTGGTTGCCTCTATCATCAGGGTAATGTGTAGATTGATATAGCTCCAGATACGGGCGTGTTGGTGGCTTTTGTGAGCAGGGTAATGAACCTTCTGGCTCCAAAAAATAGACGGATAGTTCCTTGAGCGTCTGTTAGCTTCTCAAGAAGGATTCCGCTGCGTTGTTACGAAGTGGGGGGCATCTTTTACCTTAACTGCATGCTTATATAGCATTACCATGTATTTTAAATTATGAAGATCCATTCTCCTTCGAGGACCATGGATCATTGCTTCATGTAAACTACCTGAATTGACTACGCTCTGAACCTCACAAGACTGGGTCCACTACTTCGCTTTCGTATTTTCCATTGGACTGCTTCCCGTTTGTACAACTACTCTATTCACATTGTAAACAGCATATAGTTCTTCCTTAACTTTTCGTTCAGTGGCACTAGAAATGCATGGGCAAGGGTCACTTCTCGTACTCGCTTTAGTTAAATACGTTCAGTTGTTGGGTTACTTTCTCTCCTATGGATGCGTTGTTCAAATATACTACATGAAAAGAAGCGAACAAAATGTTTCGGGTTTTATGCGTTCTTTGCACAAAGCGCATAAAATGAGTGCAAGATGGTAAGATCACTTCTGTGAGTCCGCGTTTTCATCTCAAAACTGCTGCACGAGTTTCTATTTTAATTTGGTGTTGTTGGCGGGGGGGGGGTTGCATTAAAAATTATAGGGCGAATTTAATTTTGGTGCGTGTTGATAATCCATTGCGTAAGTGGAAGATACTGCTTGGAAGACCTAGGAGTAGATGAAGGATATGTTATAAATAGGATGCAAATATGCTGAATTAATTTGACTCAAAATAGCGTCCGTGGGCGGGCATTAGGGAATTTGATAAATGAACCTTCGGTTCCACAAACAGATGGACACAAGGTCTGAATAATGTTTACTGCATATAAGAAAAAACGAAGTCCGAGAAAATAAATTATTTCTTCGTCGCGTTATTTTGATTTTAATTGTTCCTTGGTGCGTGTATTTTGTTTACATTTTATTTAAATTGCCAAGTGTTTAATAGTGTGACTTTGTCTTACTTATGAATATGTAGGGCTACTCAAGTTTTTCTACTTTGTTTCTTCCTACTTGCATTACGGTTAGTTTCCGCCCATCAACTTTGCATTCCTGTGCGCTAGTTAGCAGCTGCTAGTCTGTTCATTGATGTTCTTAATACTTTTACGGATTAGGCCCATGTGGCCTGTTCCAGTTCAGAATTACTTCTGAAATTGTGAATAATGATTATCATCATGGCCTGTTTCCAGGACGTTCTTCGTTCCCCTTCGTCGTTTTTGGTTATAGGTGGTCTGAACGCGTGAAGCCTAGTAGGGGTGTCAAAAACGCATTTGGGGAATTCCTTCTAAGATGAGAATTTTACTCACGTAATTAAGTGATGTTATGTAAACATAATTTTGTATTCTTGTGTTTTGTTAGCGCGTGGCTTTCCACTACAGAATTATGCTGTTTATTTTGTAATATATTTGTAGCATTTGGTTTATATTCAAATACAAAAGGACATTTGTTCATAATTACTCTGAATACAATTAGCTGAAATGTGTGGTTCTCGGGCCATGAACGGCTATGATTATTTGTGTTTTCCTGAACGATCGCCTACAAGTCGCAATCGGGCACGTTTCTGCTACACGTGCTTACTGCTAGATTATATTGTTTCAGAAGGTAGACGAATTCCTGTGTCTCAGACTTGCTCTAGAGTTGTTTCTATGTTCGGCAACTGAAGCTGACTTGAGATATTTCTAGATGAGTTTTTTCTCATAGTCTATGAATTTTATGTTCTTCACACTGGTCGTTTCTTGTTTGTTTTTCGCCAGTGTAGTTTCTTATCAACCACAAAGATTTTCGCGTGTTGTTGAAAACGATAGAATGCAGAAACAAACGACACGTACTTTAAGTTATTTCCCTTGCATTTTCTAGGAAGAACTGAGGAAAACACGGACAAACCGTCATTACAGATATTCCATATCTAGAATTAGAGCCTATAAAAATATACGAATAGTGACACGGTGTAGTAACTACGAGCAACATACGTGTAGCGTGTAATATGTAGGTTACGCGCATAACAAATATACTGTATAAATTTAGCCAATGGATGCGTTATTTTTAGCAGGCTGCTTACCCACGTGTCATATGCTGTAGAATTTGACGCAGCCATATGTACTGCACGGAGGAAATACTATTTTAATCGTTTAACGTCCGGTGGTTATGTGTGACACCTGTTCTAATAATCAGTAACCCTGCATTTTTCCCACAGCGTTGAAGGGACGAATACTCTGAAGAAGACCTTAGGGAAATGGGGTTTAAGTGCGTGGATTGGATTAATCTGGCTCGTGGTAGGGACCGGTGACTGCTGTTGTGATCACGGTAGTGATCCTTCGGGTTCTACAAAAGGCGGAGAACGCCTTGCATTTACAGGAAACTAGTTCGGAATATGAGCTGAAATAACAGCTGGTCTGTGTTAATCTTGGCTCTAACGCAGGAACCACGCCTATGACTCAGGAATCCATTCAGTCTGACATTATTCCACGTGGAACAGAAAGAGATTCTTAGGAAATCTGTACGTATTTTTTCTCTCTACGTTGATAATTTTATATCTTGTCTCTTTCAAATGTCTGCGTCCTTTCCTTATGTTCTATTTCCTCTTCTTCTTCTTCTTCTTTTTTGTCTCTTCTATGTTTCCTGCCGCATTAGAATGGATTCACTCTTGGTTGACAGGCAGGAAGTCCCCTTTAACCGTACAGCCTCATTTAATTTTAGCAAAAATAACTCAAGGCAGTGGTGTCCAAATTATTTGCCTCATTTGGCCAGAAGGGCTATTTTGTTTCCAATTTCATATAAAAGCTGTCCCGCTACACGCCATGTAGTCACTTGGGGTGGAGGATATAGCTCCTACTCATTCTTAACCTCGGCACTTGTTCGGAGTGCGACTGTCCTTTCTTGCATTGGTCTATGGTTGGGTTCTGCTTTCACGTATTTATCACACAGCTGCTATAAGGAACAACTATTTCATGAGCAACCCAGTTGTAATATTGTCAGCATTTCGAAATTCTCGTCGAACTGTGTTTGCAGTTTTAGTCGTTGATGTTGTTTCACTCCGCATGAAAAAAAGACGGTTGTGTTAACAATAGACGCGGAAAAGTTATTGACAATTGAAATTCCTGAGCTTGTGCTTAGTATCCAACGCAGCAAACGATCAAACCTTGCAGCTATTCTACAAGTACACGTGTGTAACCATTCCGTGTAAACGTCCTTCAAATACTCTTGTTTAATGCAGTTTCTTCTTCGCTGCCGAAAGAACCTTCTGGTTTGAGACATTTAGATTGTCCACATGATATACGTTTTTACGTGGTCTGTATACCTAGTCTGCTCGCCGTTCGGGTTTCATATTGCGTGTCACTTTTTTTCCTATGTTCACACGAAATCCTATGTTCTCTCGAAGTTTCATGAGGAATTTCTGTGGTTATAGCAGTTCTCTGTATATGATTAATTTGACAGTTTTTATGTGTTTTAAGAGATGATCTTTGGTTCAAATAAGTGAGAAAACTATCAGGTTTATATTTAACTCGTGATAGCCTTGCATGCCTTTGATGGTACTTTTACCTTAATTACTATTAGCACACGTTAAATGTATATTTACTTAATGTATGTTTTGTTGTTACAGCCCAGGTCCCAGTGAGGTGCAGGATTCAGAAGAGAATGCAGATGAAACCGCTCCAGGTAAGTACATCATCTTTTGGTTCGCTTAAGAGTCCAGCGGCTGGCGTCTGTTAATGCTATAATGAACCTTCAAGTTCTGTAAAGGGCGGGGAATTTCTTGTCTCGTTGAGGGACTGCTGCCTTTTGAGTTTAAATATGTTGTTTTTAATCAGTACTTTGGAATTAATTACAAACGTAATCATCCCAATTCGTTCGATAACGCAGTTTATCGGGTGATATTTTTTAGTCTACTGCCCGGACATGGATACAGAAACAACGAAGAAGAGAAAGAGACAATAATAAGTAAATAATTTGCCAGTATCAGACAATACGTCTTGTTAATGCAGTCACTGTTCGGCAGTGTATGTCCTTGTGAACAAATGTTCAGCCTAATGAAAACTAATCCATCTCATCGGTTCACATTTGGAAGGGCACGTGCGTTTCTCAGCAGCAGAAGTTAAATCTATGTTGATAGATCACTCAAGCAAAAACCAGCGTCTCATGTCTCACCAAATGACTGATTTTGTAAAAGATAGTTATTGAGTGATATGTGTATGAATCTATTTATAATATTAAGTTTGTAATATTGCTAATAAATTGCCACGAACATTCAGTAAACTGTCCTCCCAACTTGCGGGCCTCGAGTGTAAATTTGACCGTCGTCTGGGAGAGGTTGAAGACCCCAGGTTTTCAGATAACAGAGGGGTCGCAGGAGACAAAAATGATGGAGGGGTGTAGGGCGGTATGTGGATGAAAAGCGCAAGAGAAGGAGGAAGCAGAAACCGATTAGATTGGGGCTAACGGTTGGCTTGTTCGTTTTTATCCATCCATTAGGCCATAGCTCGGCGACGACTTTAGCAGCTGATACAGCATCACTAAGACGCGGTATTATAGTTGTTTTGAAAGCAATCCGAACATCAGTAAAGGGTGGACTGGAATCGGTCTGATCTCTAATTTTCTCTTGTGTCACTACATAACAAATACTTTTAAGTGTGAACATAACTGCAGCCAAGGAGGGGGTTATTCTTTTGACGTCTCGCATCTCTGCTCCTAAAGCCGGAGGAAAGGGGTGAAGATGCCGAAATTGTAGGTGCTTCAAAATTGGGATGCCATGAAACGGAACAAAACCGTTACTGTTATTACCATTATTTATGCCCCGTTTACATTTAAATACAATTGCTGAAAGCGTTGTTACAAACATTTGTTTTTTATGTTAAACGAACTAAACTTCTTCCAACTTTGATTTCCTTTTGTTATAAGTGTTCACAATGACTGTTCATAACAATGTTTTTGGCAAGGACGGGGTTTTATGCTGTTTCAGGTGGAGTCGTGTTTACCGACTTTGGTGGTTGGGATTGTTTTATTTTACATCGTAATGCAGGACTTAAAAAAACTGCATGATGAATAGCTGATAATTTGTAGGCCTATCCTAGGCCAGATATTGTGGAGGTAGTCAAATAAAGGAGGATCAGGTGGGCAGGGCATGTAGCACACACAAGATAAGTGAGAAATGTATACACAGGGTTTGTCAGGAAACGAGGAAGCTGCTTGGAGATTTCGTCATTGGTGAAAGAAAGGTATTAAGATACATTTTAAATGTATCTTGAAGAACAGCATATGAGAGTGCGGATTAGATTAATGTAGTTTGATATATGGTCTGATGAAGGACTTATGAAAATGTTGAATTTCTAGACCGGCTGAGAAACTGTTGCCTTCTAATGAAGCATTTTGCTCCATGTGCGGGGTTTCCTTATCTGCTGCTTCACAGAATGTATCTTAAATTTCGCGAGTCTGATGTAACGTTTCCATATGTTTATTTCAGTGAAATTTTTAGGTCTTACGATTTGAGCTTGTTAATAAAATTACCAACGTTGTGAAATGCTGTTTAGTAAATTAAAATAGGCATTGCTTAAATTTGTATGTCTGAGCAAGCATTTGTAGCGGCTGCTCTGAAACGCAGGACACGTTCTGACGTGGGAAACTAGTATTAAGCGAGATTGTGACTAGAAAATTGATCTAGAACGCGAAAATATATTTAATTCTATTTTCACCAAACGTTTTTTAAAGATGTAAACTGGATTCTGAGTTGTAGCGCCGTGTAATATGGCAGAAGTTTACAAATGTTTCAGACATCCTTGTTGCTTCCATCATCAGGGCGATAATTTGACACGTTGGTTAACTTCTGCCATATTACGGGGTGCTACAACCCAACCTTCATACTCACTGCCTTGAAAACCTCAAATCCTACTTGAAACCTGTATTTCTCTTGTTTAGGATGACGTATGCGTACGAAAATTAACCTTACGTTTTCTGTAAAAGCAGGCATGTGTACTTGATTTTGTTTGATTGTCATGGCCTTTAATCGCGATACAAAGTTCTTATTACTGTACTCTGTCCAAAAATTTCTGTTTGGTTGAGCCCGGTATCCTAGTAGCATTTTCGTTAGTTTCCTCATCTCTGAAGCTTGTAGCAACTCACGTATATTTTCTGCTTATTAGACAGTACCCGATCCCATCAGATGACATGCCATCGTTAAACAAGTTACGACACAGAAACAAACAAATCCGGAGCGTAGCTATAGTACACGAAAGATCTCATCTGAAGCCACTGCACCGACTTAAATACAGCGTCGCGTTTTCTGGTAAACGCTTGAGGATAGAATTGCCCATACAGCAACCGGGCTTGGAACACAACAGAGTTAAAGCAGCGGATTTAATGTGTGGTGTTTTGACCTTTAACCTTCATAGGTTATGCTGGGATATTCATTAGCCCTTTGACAGCTCAGCTGATAATACTTGAGAATTTGTCCCAAACGACTTTTCGCCGGCATTACTTTTTTCCAGAAATGATTGTTGTTTACAGTGAGAATATACGTGAATAGAAAATGGAGAGTTATTTGTTGCTGAAGCAGGTGTTTGTTGAGTTGCCATTTAGTTTTAGGTGTTAAGAATTTTGGGGTTAGAGGGGGGGGTGAATTTTCGAAAAAAGATACTTCTCACATTTCTTGTTTTTGGTTTAGTTAATTACTTGGCGACCGCGTTGAAATAGGCGGTAATGGAATTTTCTTCTTATCATTCTGATTCCGGTTGTAGACCCACGTGGTTTAAAATCCAGGTTACTGTTGTGTCATTATTCTGAACTTCATGAGAATTTAAAGTCATGTGATTACACCAGAATGCTTCGGAATAGAACGTTTCTTTTCCCTGTTCCTTAGGTTAGTTTACGACGCTGTTTTAAATACAGATATGTGATAGTTGGAAAGAGGTCAGAAGACACAGGAAGATAGGCACAGCATTTTTTTTAATGATATTGGGCTATATTTTTTTCGTGGGGATTGTGGAAAGCCTTGAAAACCCTGGCAAGCATTAGGACCAGGAAAAGTAATTTCCTCTGGGTTTGCTTTCTTGCTGAAACTCTGAGATTTCAGGTTCTCACGGCGGCGAATATGAAATTGTCTTTCTGGGCTGTTGCGCCGTTTACCTACGTATAAGAGGTGCTTGCTGCCTCAATCATCAGAGCGATCACCCTTATCACTCTAAAACTGGTCATCACTTAGGCCTGCTGCAGCAGAGGACATTCAGGTCACTAATTTTTTCGTGGTTTTTTTTACCAAGTTACCAAGGTTCCGGTTTTGGGGAACTACATTTCTAGTCTAGAGCTTAAAAATATCTATCCCCTTGCCGACTCTGGAGTAAATGTTAACGTACTTCGTGGTCGCGTCGTAGCCAGGCTTCGGATTGGCTCTTACCCAGGGATTGTAACGCCACGGGTCGTAAGTGGCCCATCTTGTCAATGTCGTATTTCGTAGTCTTTCTCATTGTAAGAAATAAGACGTAGTTCATAATATGGCCGTGTGATTCAGTGTAGACGTGTTTAAAATTGCATTTTTATAAAATAAGTTGGTAACGTCCGTATTTCACACATCTTTATGATTTTTCAGTTTGTGTACCATGTAAATGTTCTCCGAATAGAAAAATCCAGATATGAAGTGTAGACTAAACTGAAGGACTGTGGCTTTATTTCAACTGGTGTTATCACACTGAGAATTTCAGTGTAGCTGTAAAGTAAAGAATTCAGTTTTAATTCTGTTTCGTTGCTTAATAAAATACGGGATTTTGTGTATTATCCGCTTTCCTATTTTTTTTTCATATCCACAACGTTTTCAAATTTGTCTGTGTGCTCATCATAAGATGACTGGCTCATTATACTGACATATTTTTATCAACGGTTGGGACCTAACCCGGACCTTCAGAATGTAATGTTAGTGCTATAACCACAATGCCATCTTGGTGAGGAGATTTCTGTACATGCTTGTGAACACGTGAAACGCATTGACCGGTCGGATGAAAAACGCTACTTTTTTCCCTGGAACTGTTTCGTAAAATTTCGATCGGAGACGGCAGCATTTTGAATGTTAGGTTTCGTCAAACAAGTCGGATCCTCTTACACTGACGAAGACCGGCCCTGGCGCTCTGCAATTCCGGACCGAATCCACTAATCGTCCGCATTGCTTGTCCTTATGGTTACGTACGCCTGTTGCATTCAGCCGGCGATGAGAGAGAGGCTAGAGGATTTAATACGTCATTTCAGTAAGCAGGCTGTGAAAAAGGATCTCTTCCTAAAGGTTGCCAGAGCACAAAGGCTGCTTCAGTCATTCAGTATCATGTCGGTGCATCGTTATTTAATATTTTCTTTTTTTCATTATGGTGGGTAAGAAATGGGTTGCTCGCAGATAAAAGGCAAATAATCAAAGATTAATCTTTCGAGGAACAATGGTAACTATGTGTACCAGATGCTTTAACGTTCATTGATGCAGAATTTTGCCCACAGGGTGTATTTATGAATTGTATTAATTTTTCAGCATTAACAGTTGTCATTTCAGTAAACATCAGCAGATACCGTGTATTTTTTTAGAGATAAGGACCAGAGTATTAAATAGGCTTTTAGTTTTGATGGGTGTCGAGCTTTAAATTTTTAACAGAACGTTAAGATTGTTATTCCGCTCTGTTGTTTGGCATCTCTATCGCCAGTTTATATTAAAACACCTGGGAAAATTCGTGTATTTTCTATTGTTTTCAAGCCGAGGTTCAGACCGGGTACTGCCCGAATGAAAGTTGCCTTACCGATATAGTGAAATTCTGTGTTAATCGGGCATTAATTTCAAAATTAAAACCTAGACCCTCCAAAATGCGGAACGTAACATGTTTTCTGCAGGAACTGAAATGAAATTTGTGAGCAGAACAAGAAGAATTTTTGGATGGGCTACAGAGGAAACAGACATTGAACATTGCTTAAAAATTGTAAAATATGAAAGCCATTGGATTCAGCGCGTTAACAGAATGCAAAGAGACTACTAAAGAATTGCAAATCACCTTTGGGTTAAGAAACCTAGGACAAACTTAAAAAGACTTTTCGGCGGAATGAGGTCGGAGCGGGTCACCACCAAGCAGCCTAATTCTCTGGCCGCCAGTTGTAGATTATGAGGATGAACACATGTGCTGGTCTTCCGCTGTCGTGCAGTTACACTGTGCAATCATAATTTATTGACGATGCGAAATTAAATCTCCTTTACACGTATGTATGATCTGGTGTACTCCACCTTTCCGTTTTGTGATTGAGATGGGAACCCGCTTTCATTGTTCAGAGTAATTGCGTGTTATATTTAATTTTGTGTCTTCAATTCACATCTTGCCAACTTATCTCTATACCCATAGACGCGTGGCAAACAGTCCGAGTACACACATTTTCTGCATTGCACCCTACGTTGATCTAGATTATTTTTGTAGCTGGAAATCTGTTATTTGGCAGACAAAAATAACAGTGAAGGAACTGGTAGATTGTTGTAAGTTTGGACATGGCCTTCAACTTCGCGCGCTCAGCTGAAATAAGGCGCTGTAGCAATTTATACATGGCAAAGTTTTATTGTTTGTTTACAAAATGTTATGTAGTGGTTTGTTTTCTGGAGATTCCGAAATCTATTCTGCCTTGGACACCGGCTGTCATCAGATTTTTATGTTCTTCCTGAATTTTCATCAGACCGACGATGGAGACCGGTGGCAAGCTTATCTGATTACGATAATGAACGAAGATGGCTGTCTTCTGGGTTGTAGCGCCGTTTAGTCTGGTAGACGTTTACCAGCGTCTCAGAGGTACTTGCTGCCTCCATTTATCAGGGAGCCATCTTTATACTGGCCTCTTATCGCAGGACATGTTTGTGAGACCGAGGAATTTTATATTGTTATAGTTTAATTCTGCGCGACTCAGAGAAGTACTTATTTCTTAAGAATTTCTGCCAAAATGGGAAATTATTGGTTTATTCATATTTTCAGATCAGTCCATTGGAATTTTTGTAAAAGTGACGCTCGGATACGTTTTTCTCCGAGTATTTCAATTTTCCACTGTTGTCATTCCACCATTGCTCCATATTCAGTCTTCTTACATCACTTGGACAGTGGGGTCGTTAACTGACCTGTTAGGTAGAAACTCAGTATCGCCCCATCGCACAGCACAATTCAGGGTTAATCTAGCTAAGAAAAATAATACCGCATTTCACAATGTTGTTGTCGAACTTTCTTACGTAATTTGTTTTACTCGGAGAGGAAGGCGTGTTGGCCTGAATATAACGTGGAATTTATAAATCTTTGTGTGGTTTGTGTATGCTGAAGTGCAGCTGCACAGCATACGATAATCTGTTATTGCTGTGTTGTGATGTTGCCTTGGTCTTCACAGTATTTAATTCGGTCCACGATGATTAAAAGAATGTTTTAGAAGTTCGGTATCGTTGTGTGACTTTCGTGTGCAAATAGTCAGCAGAACATCTATTTTCTGGTTTAGCTGTCTTCGGGCGGTTTTGGGCGTGTCGTAAGTTGTGATTGAAGACAATGTATTGCTGCCTTCGTTGTGTTCTTCGCAGAGCAGTGATATGCTTCACATGTAAGACGCGAGCTTTGTGGCAACAGACGTCAAGAATCAGAGACTGCAACAGTAACTGTTTCAGGTCACTTGAAATCAGAACTGTTACATGAATAATGAATTAATTTTATCCTTACAAAGGATTTAACTTAATGTATAATTTGCACCTAAATAACTTTAAACTATAAATCGTAACGTATTTGTTAATTTTTGGTGTATGAAAGATTCGGACATTTGGTGGTCGAGTGGCCCGGTTTAACGCTTCGTAACTCGCCAAGTAGCAACATTTTACAGTCCATTGTATATAAACTGCAAGTTTGGAATGTCATTTTCTTTCAGATTGATCACTTCCATGAGCCTTCGTCATTGTTGTCAGAGTGGTCTTTTACTCTCTTATTACATATAAGTTAACAATGTTGAGTGAACACATGACATACAACATTATGTAAATGTGAACAATACCTGCTGATATAAAAATATAAATGGTTGTTATTACTGTCGGTTTTATTGTAAATTATTTGAAGGTTTGTTTAATTAAGCACATATTCCTAGGAGGTGGGTTATCAGCTTCATGCCCTGGCTGATTTATTCCAGGAGAGGGACCCATGGTATCCATTGAATAGCAGAGACTACAAGGCTAATGGAAGCAATTGTAGTGTTACGTGCGATGATTTTTTATTTTAGGAGGGTAGTTGCCATGGTTTACACTAGCACAGCTTTGGAAGTTATCAGATTCTTTCATGGCAGTATAATATTCCATCATTTTTCATGTTCTGCGCTTGTTAATTAAGGCTTAATTAAAATGACAATTTCTTGTAAGAAAACCATTTTCTGCAAGAATTGTCACTTCAAAATGTTCTAAATCAATTGTTTCTGTGTAAAAAAATTTTTTTTTCTTTCTCTTTCAGTAGTTACAATGGGCCTGCTGCAGCCATTAAAGACATTTTCCATCAAAGATATAAGTGTGAATGTGCACATTAGACAGTTGACCGATCTAGAGACAGATAATTTCAAGCTGAGGTTCAAAATTAGTAGTTCAGAAGATGACATGGTTCACATGACGAATGTCCATCAGGTAAGGTGTTTTTTGTGTAGTCACTTGCTTTTTATGTGCTGTTGGTTGACCAGGTAATATAACAACTTAAAAGAAACACGAAAACATTATAATTTTATGCCTGATAACCAGATATATAAAACTGCATCATACACACACAATATACTTACCTTTCACAGTATTATTGTTTTACAGACTGAAATTGGAAGTAGTCGTGTATACTGTGTGACACAACATCACAAAATAAATGCATCCACAGTTCCTTTCATTTTATTATTATCTCTTGCCTGCAAATGGGCCAGATCTTAGCCTGTTTGTAAATTTCAGTGGACTGCTATGGGACATGATCATAGCAACATTATTTTTTAGAAAGTTTCTTATAAAAACAGTATTTACTAATACCCTTTCCCCAACTTTAGATTTAATCTAAGATACTATAATGGTATCTTTGTATATTGTTGTCAGTCATTAAAATAATAGAAATTTTGTGCATTGTATGTGTTAGGCGAAAGTTGAGTCACTCAAAAATGAGATTTCTGATAAACAACGTCTGGTATGTCTGGCCTCCAAAGCAATGGACCTCATGGGAAAAAATTACGAGGAGAATTTAAAGGAGATCCGACAGCAAAATGACACTGAGGAACGGATATTGAAGTCACGAATACAAGAGCTGGAGACTGTAAGTTGAAAGTATTTTTGGATATTCTGAAGTCCGTGTTTTATCGCCACATTTATGGTTCCCGTGGTGTTTGAAGCATGAATGTTTCCTTCTATGTTAAATTTTCTTGTTTCCTAGTGTTAAATAATGTTGTCCCCTTCATTATCTTGGACTGGCAAATGCTGAGAATCCTTCACTCCGTGTTCTCGTTTACGACGTTATTAAGAGAATTTGTGTGTTCTGTAAATAAATAATCTTGATTCATAATCTATCTTCATGTAATTATAAATCTTTTACATCTTGAACCTTACAGTATTTATGATAATATTTTAATTGTTTGTGCTAGAAAGTACGTTGAATGTAAACAGTGCTTAATGTGAGTCACACCCATTGCCACAAGATTTATTATTTAATTCTTATTAATTGTTTATCATGACATTCAGAGTCCAACTGACCCTGTGTCACTGTAGCATACCACTAAAGCCAATAGGTTTGAGTTGATCATCATAACGAAATGTGCAGAACCTGCAAAAGGACACAGATAACCAGCAAACCTAATTGTTTGTGACCATTTACTAATTTTCCTCTACAGGCTCTGAAAGAACATGAGAACAAACTCAGAGACTCTGCATCTTCCGTTTGTAGAGATGGCCACTCGTGAACGAGTAGAAGCAATATTGCAGCATACTGCAGCATCAGAAGCACAAGAGTGTTATAAAAGTTTGTCTAAGAAATAGATGTCATTAAATTAATTCCAGTTTACTCTTTCTTGTATAACTTCTTATTTTCATCATTAAGTACTAAAAATAAAGTGAGACACATGTATACAAAACATTCTCGCCTGTTTGCTTACGTTTTGTTTTGCAATGCAGTGTTACCATTTTCAGCAGTGTTAAACAATAAGCTTTAAGGCAGTATATGGCACAATCAGAAGCACAAGAGTGTTATAAAAGTTTGTCTAAGAAATAGATGTCATTAAATTAATTCCAGTTTACTCTTTCTTGTATAACTTCTTATTTTCATCATTAAGTACTAAAAATAAAGTGAGACACATGTATACAAAACATTCTCGCCTGTTTGCTTACGTTTTGTTTTGCAATGCAGTGTTACCATTTTCAGCAGTGTTAAACAATAAGCTTTAAGGCAGTATATGGCACAATCAGAAGCACAAGAGTGTTATAAAAGTTTGTCTAAGAAATAGATGTCATTAAATTAATTCCAGTTTACTCTTTCTTGTATAACTTCTTATTTTCATCATTAAGTACTAAAAATAAAGTGAGACACATGTATACAAGTGTGTCTTAGGTGGAAGCTGAGTCTCTCAGAAAACAGCTATTTGATGAACAGCATCGTGTGCTATGTCGGGCCTCTGAAGTCATGAATCACATGAAACAACAACACCAGAAATTAAAGGACGTCATGAAGAGAGTTGCCTCTACAATACAGAAATTAGAATTCTTAATAAAACGGCTGGAGACTGTAAGTTGAAAGTATTATTGAATATTCTGAAGTCCCTGTTTTATCGCCACATTTATGGTTCCCGTGGTGTCTGAAGCATTAGTGTTTCTTTCTGTGTTAAATTTTCTTGTTTCCTAGTGTTAAATAATGTTGTCCCCTTCACTATCTTGGACTGGCAAATGCTGAGAACCCGTCACTTCATGTTCTCGTATACGCTGGAATTAAGAGAATTTGTGTGTTCTGTAAATAAATAATCTTGATTCGTAATCTATCTTCATGTAATTATGAATCTTTTACATCTTGAACCTTACAGTATTTATGATAATATTTTAATTGTTTGTGCTAGAAAGTAGGTTGAATGTAAACAGTGCTTAATGTGAGTCACGCCCATTGCCACAACATTTATTATTTAGTTCTTATTAATTGTTTATCATGACATTCAGAGTCCAACTGACCCTGTGTCACTGTAGCATACCACTAAAGCTAATAGGTTTGAGTTGATCATCATAACGAAATGTGCAGAACCTGCAAAAGGACACAGATAACCAGCAAACCTAATTGTTTGTGACCATTTACTAATTTTCCTCTACAGGCTCTGAAAGAAAATGAGAACAAACTCAGAGACTCTGCATCTTCCGTTTGTAGAGATGGCCACACTTTAGAAGGAGTAGAAGCAATACCACAGTATACTGCAAGATCAGAAGCACAAGTGAGTTATAAAAGTTTGTCTAAGAAACAGATATCATTAAGTTAATTCCAGTTTACTCTTTCTTGTATAGTTTCTTATTTTTATCATTGAGTACTAAAAATAAAGTGAGACACATGTATACAAAACATTCTCGTCTGTTTGCTTATGTTTTGTTTTCCAATGCAGTGCTCTTACCGTGGTGTCTGAAGCATGAACGTTTCCTTCTGTGTTAAATTTTCTTGTTTCCTGGTGTTAAATAATGTTGTCCCCTTCACTATCTTGGACTGGCAAATGCTGAGAATCCTTCACTCCATGTTCTCGTATACGACGCCATGAAGAGAATTTGTGTTCTGTAAATAAATAATCTTGATTCGTAATCTATCTTCATGTAATTATGAATCTTTTACATCTTGAACCTTACAGTATTTATGATAATATTTTAATTGTTTGTGCTAGAAAGTAGGTTGAATGTAAACAGTGCTTAATGTGAGTCACACCCATTGCCTCAAGATTTATTATTTATTTCTTGTATGTCTTAGGTGAAAGGTGAGTCTCTCAGAAAACAGCCTTTTGATGAACAGTGTCATCCGCTATGTCGGTCCTCCAAAATCTTGTACCAGATGAAACAACAACACATGAATTTAATGGACATGATGGAGGAAAGTGACTTTAAAATATGGGTATATGAGTTACTAATACAAGAAGTGATGATTGTAAGTTTAAAATATTATTGGATATTCTGAAATCTGTGTTTTATCGCCAGATTTATGGTTCCCGTGGTGTCTGAAACATGAATGTTTCCTTCTGCGTTAAATTTTCTTGTTTCCTAGTGTTAAATAATGTTGTCCCCTACACTATCTTGGACTGGCAAATGCTGAGAATCCTTCACTCCATGTTCTCGTTTACGACGTTATTAAGAGAATTTGTGTGTTCTGTAAATAAATAATCTTGATTCATAATCTATCTTCATGTAATTATAAATCTTTTACATCTTGAACCTTACAGTATTTATGATAATATTTTAATTGTTTGTGCTAGAAAGTATGTTGAATGTAAACAGTGCTTAATGTGAGTCACACCCATTGCCTTAAGATTTATTCTTTACTTCTTGTATGTCTTAGGCGAAGGCTGAGTCACTAACAAAAGAGGTTTGTGATGAACAACGACTTCTGCTATGTCAAGCCTCCAAAACTAAATACCTCATCAAACAACAAGTGAAGGATGTAGAGGCATTCCGTCAGAATCGTGGCTCTATAATACAGACATTAGAATTCGTAATACAACAGCTAGAGTCTATATGTTAAGTATTACTGCATATACTGAATTCCCTGTTTTATCGCCACACTTATGGTTCCCGTGGTGTCTGAAGCATGAATGTTTCTTTCTGTGTTAAATTTTCTTGTTTCCTAGTGTTAAATAATGTTGTCCCCTTCATTATCTTGGACTGGCAAATGCTGAGAATCCTTCACTCCGTGTTCTCGTTTACGACGTTATTAAGAGAATTTGTGTGTTCTGTAAATAAATAATCTTGATTCATAATCTATCTTCATGTAATTATAAATCTTTTACATCTTGAACCTTACAGTATTTATGATAATATTTTAATTGTTTGTGCTAGAAAGTACGTTGAATGTAAACAGTGCTTAATGTGAGTCACACCCATTGCCACAAGATTTATTATTTAGTTCTTATTAATTGTTTATCATGACATTCAGAGTCCAACTGACCCTGTGTCACTGTAGCATACCACTAAAGCCAATAGGTTTGAGTTGATCATCATAACGAAATGTGCAGAACCTGCAAAAGGACACAGATAACCAGCAAACCTAATTGTTTGTGACCATTTACTAATTTTCCTCTACAGGCTCTGAAAGAACATGAGAACAAACTCAGAGACTCTGCATCTTCCGTTTGTAGAGATGGCCACACTTTAGAAGGAGTAGAAGCAATACCACAGCATACTGCAGGATCAGAAGCACAAGTGAGTTATAAAAGTTTGTCTAAGAAATGGATGTCATTAAATTAATTCCAGTTTACTCTTTCTTGTATAATTTCTTATTTTCATTCTTAAGTAGTAAAAGTAAAGTGAGACACATGTACACAAAACATTCTCGTCTGTTTGCTTACCTTTTGTTTTGCAATGCAGTGTTACCATTTTCAGCAGTGTTAAACAATAAGCTCTAATGCAGTATATGGCAGAGAAGAAATTTGGTACTATACAGATTGGAATGTGTTTGCTGTCTTTGTATGACATTTGTCTTATTCATACTTCTTAAAACTATTCATCTTATAAGATTTACAATTATTAGTATATCAATCACTGTTGCACTGTAGTGTAGTGTAGTGTGTATCTACCAGTTACATGTTGCAAAATTTCACAGACAGCTTATGAACATATGAAGGATTGAAGCTGCAGTGTTTCAAGTGTTAATGTTATAAAAAATCTGGTCTTACTGCAAAGGATCACAAATCATAATTTTTCGGTTGGCCTGCACTGAACAAGTGTGTACATGGAATTCTGCCAATGCAAACATTTAAATGCTGTAAGAATGTACATGGGCCCCAGTAATTAATGGGGATGTGAGGACTCAGGTGTGGAAAGTCAAGTAACTATGCAATAAATTCATAAAAATAAAATAATGGAATGACAGTTATTAAAATAAAATGTTAGCACAAAGTTAGGTATCAAACTCTATCGCGTCAGATACACCATGGGCAGGAATGAGCGATTTAGTTTTCTAAACAGGAGTGACATTTTTTGTGCTACTTCAGGGTGCTGGCAGACTGTATATAATAAAATGTTTTGCATTATGCAAAAAATTGTTTTACTTTATTTTCACACCTATAATTGAATCTGCATAGGAGGAAAGTTTGCTGTACAGGCACTTTTATGTCATACCAAATAGATATTTGTATTGTGTTGTTACAACGTATTTTTTGTCACATGTTACATATGGGAGTTTTTGAAATAAATCTATAAAAGTCTTAGGTAGGCCGCGCACCGACATGCGTCAAGACATGTAACAGTCTGCGACATGACGCAAAGAAAGGAGCACAGTTGAAACGAATGAGATTATGAAAACCGCCGCACACCGGTCTGAGTCATGATGCTGACGTCAGCTTCAATGCTGCAGATACGTGCAGTGAGACCCAGCATGTTCCTTTTCCGTGCGCCAGGACTGAGACATCAGTACTCATGTAACAGCACCAGTGTACGTTATCGACACGAGTGAAGAGTAAACAAATATTAAGATAGGGCAGACGGTTGAGAAATTCCCGGTAATATACGATTATTCGTCCCCGGGCCTCTCAAACAAGGAGGAGGTTGATAAAGCTTGGCATGCAGTTTCAAAAGAAGTAAACATAGATGGTAAGTTAATGTTATAAGTAGCCGTTCATCAGCACTAATAGCTTTCCTATAGTTTGTATCCTGCTTCCTCAATAGTGGCGAAACTCTCTGAAGAAGTTCCTTATAGGATTCTGGGGACATTCGATAATAAGACTGGAATTTCACTGGACCGTTTAACAAGTCGCGCGCTAAAACGTACGCACCATGTTGAGCACACGACTCATTTAAGTTATGAATCCACTTCCTTTTCCTTCTTTTACGTAATTTAAGCCACATGTACATTAAAATATCTTCCTCATTGGACGACGTCATGTCATCAACTAGAGAATATGTGCTAAGACGCAGACACGTGCTACTTCGGTGTGCGGACTCGAGTCTGAATCACGAATGAAGCAAGACTGCGTCTTTTGTCTCATGTCTTGATGCTTGTCTTGACGCAGTTGGTGTGCGGCCGCCCATACACAGTATAATGTAATGGAAGTGACTTAAGACATTAATATTTGAAAAAGACAAATCATCTGTAGCATCCCCTTCACTCCATCACTGTGTCCACTGGAGGAATCCTACCCACCTCACCATGGATACTGACAAAAACTGACTGTAAAAACACAAGGCACCTTGTGACCATATCTTCTGCAGACCCTCTCAACCCCCGCCCTCCTTAAAAGTGCACAGTGGATTGCAGAAAGAGAAACAGCCTAGTTCACATATGTCCATGTTTATGTAAAAAGAAATACACACTGGTAATCTGCACATGATAATCAAGAGTTTACTGTAGTCGCTTGTCTGGTTAAAAGTTACCAGTATTTTAGAGGTTCATTATAGTGTATGGAAGATCTTCCCCCCACCCTTTGACCCCTATCTTGAGCCAGATGAATCCAGTTAATACCATTACATCCTACTTAATATCCACTTCAATTTTATAATTCCATCTATGCCTAGGTATCCCCAGTGGTTTTGTCCCTTCACGTTTTTTAGCCGGTTTCTAATGGAAAATGAGAAGACTGAAATGCTTATCTGTTGTCTGCAAGTCTGTATGTCGGAAAATGGATTGCCACAGGTGCTGTTGTTGTCATCTGGGCTACTGTGACTTAAGCATTCAGTTTTGAGTTAGGTGTTGAAGCAGAGGTGTGCTCTGGGCATGTGGTTGTGTCACAAGCCAGACTGGGGCACGTGGCTGTGGCTAAACTGCTGAATGACAGGTATGTAACATTTATTCTGGACCATCTTTCTTTCATCTGCATTAAATTATATTTAATGTTAATGCAATCCAGCAAGAACCATTTTTCTTGTGAATACAAAACATAAAATGTAATCAGAGTCTGAAGGTTTCTGGTGATGATGCAGTATAATAAGCAGAATTGACCTCTTGCACTATGTCCATCATGTAAATTACAAAATAATAAGACTGCAGTCTTTCAGATGCTGAATTCTGAGCAAATCCTCCTGTATAGAAGAAGAGGATAGAAATCCATTTTGCTAGTCTGGACTATGTCTGAGGCAAGCTCAACCAGAGGGCCAAGGCATAGGATTTCTGTCCCCTTTCCCTCTTGTACCGATGACAGAAGCAGAATCCACTTTCTAAAATGCTGTAGTTTATAATTTGAATGATGGACAAAGTGCTCAATAATAATTTTACACATTTTAATGCACCATCATCAGAAACCTTTAGACTTGTTTAGGTTTTATGTTTTGTATTCAGAACTTTTTATAGCAGTATGGATTGACAAGTAAAGTGGTTCTTGTAGGGTTACATTGACTGAAAAATTGGTAACATAATTTCAAGCTTGCAATAGAATGTTATAATGTTTAAACACAATGTCATCCAAAGAACAAGGACATTTCACATATTCTGATATATGTCACTTTACCACCATCCCCATCACTTTGTAACATCTTTTATCACTCATGTTCTTTGTATACCCTGTTCCTGTGTGCAAGATTTTATGCTTGTTTTATTTTATATTTACCCTCTTCTTTGAAGGCGAAATTTTTAACGGTGTTAATTATGCCTTAATGACTGTTCAGGCTTCAGCTTCCAGTCTTAGAATTCTCTTTTCGAGATATCTCGTGCGTAACACGGACTGGCCGATTGATAAGAAAATAAACGACAATATTTGAACCTAAGAGTGATAAAGGGACAGAATGTGAAGGAAATTGCCTAAGCAGGAGCTACAAAACTTGTAGATCATCTTAACCAAATATTATTAGGACGATCAAATCGAGAAATATGAGATGGGTAGGGAACATTAGCGCACATGAGGGATGTGAGAAATGAGTACAAAATGTTGGTTAGAAAGCCTGAAGGAAACATGTCACTAGGAAGACGTAGGTGTATATGGGAATATAATATTAAAATGGATATTAGGGCAACATATATTAGGTACCGGTAGAGGGCTCTTTGAACACGGCAACGAGCTTTCGGTTTCCATATAAGAGAGGAATTTCTTCACTAGCTGAGAGACTATCATTTTCTCAATAAAGATTCTGCTCTATGGAGTTAGTTAAGTGAAAATTAAGGTAAGAGATGTTAGCAAAATCGAAAAGAACCTTATTTTAATTAGCTGCAAGACCTGCATGTTTCAGGGTAATCCACTGAGGAAGAGACCTGAACGTAAAATGGTTTTAAAAGTGCGAAGTGTGAAGCATTCCCAATAAGACTAAATGCCCATCAACATCCTAGATGAATCCGACGATGTATTATCGATCTGAAAAGAACATACGCGCAGAGACGCTTTATATGAAGGCACGTCACGGACAGAGATCACAGCAGACGCAAAACATTTACAGAAACGCGAATCACTACAAGTCAGTCTCTATTGGCAGTACTTCTACGGTATTCTTAGTCAGTACAGACGATCAGGAAAAATTTATTTGAGCCCGCAACTTCGATTTATAAGCTTGCTTGATACGTACACAGTAAGGAACAGAATTATATTTGTGGGGATTCTGATACACTGTCAACTACTACGTGATTTCCTGTTTACAGGTCACAGAACATAACGCAAAATTTGGTTACCCCTTTCAGATCATGGAGTCACAATTGAAAAAGTCCGTCACGTCGTAACACCCAGGCGTCTGAACCCCAGAGACCGAATACAGAAGCTCAATGGATTATATACTTTTACATGTCTGTCGCAAGCAGAGGAAGACGGAAGGACGAAACAGAGAAGAAAATTTTAGAAACACAGAAAGAGGCAGCAAAGTTATGAGAGAATAATAATGCTCCTGCCGCCGTCACCCGGCAGAAGATGCCCTCTATTACCCACTGGAAAGAACAGCAAGTGGGCGCTAAAGACTTTTTCCTGGTTGCCTGCTAGCACCGAGAATCGAGTCCGTACTTTGCATCTTATGGTCTGTCGTTTCAATAACCGAGATTCGAACCTTATATAATCAGAGCAGAAGCGACTAAATACGCGTAGGGGAATCCTGGCAAATATGAGCACCTTTAGTAGTTGTATCTGCGACCTCGTTGAATTTTATGGAACAGCGCTCAAGTTGTTGGTAACTCGTATGAAGTGTTACGGCTGCAGTGGAACGAGAATAATTATTTTTGTCTACTATACTTTCTTACAAATCTCGCTTTCAAAGTGTTTATTAAAAGAGATTACATTTTTGCTTTACTGTTGTATTTAATTTGCATAACAAAAAACTTGTGTTGTTAAATACATAATGAGTAGTAGGCTACTGGATACGAAGCTTAATGCTATGTGCAGAGTGTCCCAAAAACATGTATACACACTCAGGAATCCATACTATCACCAGTTTTGTTCCCACCTCAATATTTTATGTGGAATTACTTGGATGACGCTTTGTACAGCACAAAGCCGACAATACTTCAAGAACTCCGACAAGAGATTTAACTGTCTTACGTAGCAATGCCAGCAGCGACTGTGGTGACCTCTTGTCAGTCAGTTGTTCACCGCTGTTATCCGTACCACGAAGCTAATGGTAGTCAGTTTGAACACCTACATTACATTAGCTAATCCACTTTGTGCCAATGCTGACGTATGTAACCGTTTAGTTTATTAAAACGTCAATTTTATTTATTGAATATGTGTACATATCTTCTGGGATATTCTGTATATACGTTTGGCTACAAATGCATGATTGATTCAAGTTCAGACTATTTAACTTGTAAGACTTGAGGTTCTCACAGCGGTGAATATGAAGATTTCTGTCTTCTGGGTTGTTGCGCTGTGTAGTCTGGTCGATGTTAACCAACGTTTCAGAGGTCATACTGCCTCCGTCATCAGGGCGATGAATATG